GGGGGGGGGGTTGGTCTCGGGATGAAAGATGTCAGAGTATCAAAACCCTATTAAGGAAATGGTTCTAGAGATTTTGTATTGAGGAGCACGCGCTAAAGAGGGAGGTAATAGAGGAAAAGTATGGAATTGTGAAGCAGAGTAGAGGACTTATAATATCACACTTCTGTTCGGATGCGGACTTTGGAGGGATATTATGAAAGGATGGAAAGATTTCATTGGTAACAAAACCTTCAAGTTTTGGATGAAATAGAATTAGCTTCACAAGTTCATGGAAGAGACGTTGAGAAGGACATTCTTGAACATCTATAATATCTCGAGAGTCGAGTCAGAGGGAGATGGCAGTATGATGGTTTTGAGGTTACAATAGGGGGGAGTTCCTTGGGGCAGAATGGTTAGAAGGAATCTTCTGGATTGGGAAGTAGTTAAATTCCAAGACCTGGTTGAAAGACTTTACAAGCAAAATAAATCACGCACTATTCAGGACTCATGGAGGTGGATGTTGGGAAGAGATGAATTGTTGTCAGTACAATCATATTATCATAAATCTTGGTGAGGTTGGAATCAGATCTTTCACACTTACCGGCTTGGATTCCTGTGGCACCAAAAGTGTGTTTTTTTACTTGGCTAGCAATAGAGGAAGTAATCCTGAAAACTGAAATTTGAGAAAAAGGCGGATTACAAATGTCAGCTGGTCATATATGTGCAAATGCTCTGGTGAAGATGCGGACTACCTCCTCTGTTATTGTCAGGTGGCTACTTGCTCGTGTTGTGAGATTTTGAGATGGGACGGACTGCAATGGCGATGCCGGGCACAGCGAAGGAGGCTCTCTCCAGTTTGACATGTTGAAGAAAGAAGAGAAGTGAAGAGCACGGAATATTGAGCATTACACTCACGTAGGCCCTTTTGAACATGAGAGCTTTTGAAGGGAGAGAGAATCATATGATGTTGTAGCTTCTCTTTTTGCTGCTGAAGGGGAGATTTTCCCATTGTAACTTAAAGATTTTTCTTGTGATTGTTTCATCGGTTCATATCGAGCAGTCCAAAAACTTTTTCTTCATGGAAGTACAACTTCTTTGCTACTACGAGTATAGCAAATACCAGAAGTATCTAAATCAATTTGACTAGATATGATAGTATGATACATATTTGCTACCAGCACCCCTGTTTTTGTTGTAATGAGACAGCCATAGCAAGAAAAAGAAAGAGCCCTGTTGATAGTTTAATTGATTAGTTTCACAAGTATGAGTTAGCAGTGGGATGCAACTTCATTATTCCTTTTTTTTTTTTTTTTTTTTGGTTAAGCAGCTTTATTATTCTCTCATAGTGGTCTGTCACATATTTCCTGCAACGTCATATAAAGTATGAGTAAGCTATATGGATGAAAAACTGTCCAGGACTAAACACTACAGGTTTGCTGTTCAGAACTGGTATTCTGTCTTGTTTAGTGACACAAGGTCGTGATTCATTTTGTGATGCTGTTTTACTTGCAATATCTTCAATTGTTACTGGTGATGAATTTCCTTTAATTTTTGAACTTCTGATTTTGACCCTGGCATAGCAGTGACTTCCATTTCTTAATTCATTGATCTTTGTTTGAATAGTACTACTGTCCCTCTTCTCTATCCATTTTTCTCCTTGTTGGGCTAATGAAGAAAGAAGGGACAGTTGCATTCCATATCTCTGTTTTTGCTAGCATACTTATCCAGTGTCATTGCATGGAATTAGGTACTTTATAGTTAAAAGCTGCAACCGTGAGAATCTTGAATTGTCGGTACAACAAGGAGTTTGGGCAACTCAAAGAAGCAATGAGGCTAAACTAAATGAAGCTTTTGACTCCGTGGAAAATGTTATTCTGATATTTTCAGTTAATCGGACTAGACATTTTCAGGTAAACTATTCTCTATCCTTTATGTGCTACAGATATAAAGTTTGTCCATTACCAAATAGCGGAGGAATTTGTTAAGTATTACTAGTATATAATTATTGAAAGAGTGTATAATTTGATTTTGACTTGTCGTGAAAGGAATGTGCGAGTGTAATGCTAGTTGATGGTTGTAAACAAAGCTTCCTTTGGCGCACGAGTTTTCACAATGTGAAATTTGTTTGCTATTTCTTAGGGTTGTGCAAAGATGACATCTAGAATTGGTGGCGCTGCTAAAGGAGGAAATTGGAAGCATGAACATGGAACTGCCCATTATGGACGTAATTTTTCAGTAAAATGGTTAAAGGTCATTCAGATTTCCTTTCTCTCCCCCCCCTTCTAATCTTGATTTCTCTGTTGTTTGCTTGTGCACCTTTTTCATTTGGTTGGCCTTAAATGTGTATCTGCTTATATGATACCTTACTAACTTCTATTTAGGGGCTGGGAGCAAACGCATCGTGGCATGAAATCAACTTGCCTTTTCTTTTTGGGATAGTAATATTGCTTTTCTTGTCTCTTGGAAGTGGGAGAAACATAACAGTGATAAAAATTATCAGCCAGTCTAAAAAGGATTATCATATGTGGACATGTGTCTAGAAGATATGGAGCATTATTTTTGTGTTTTTAATTTTTTTATATTTATCTGGGAAATTAAATTGGTAATACTAGTAAGGGTATATTTGAATTTACGCCCAGTTATGACGGCAGGTGAGGATTCTATAATTTTGGGTTCCAATATGGAGGTTAGTGCGAGTATTAAAACCTAATCAGGTGAAAGTACAATTCTCTCTTCACCAAAAGTGTAACACTAGAGAAATCCTATTGTATTTAGCGCCCTTTCTATTTAGCTTTAGGACTATGATCACTTTTCTAACATATACTTGATATAACTGACTGGCTGGGTTTTTTTTTTTTTTTTTTTTTTTTTTTTTT